CAAGTTTCTTATCCCTTTCAAGTTATATTTACCCTCCTAGAAACTTGGCTAAGCCTATTGCAGGCGGTATAGCAATATGCTCTTAGCTGACCCAGAGCTGCATTCAAACCTAGCTGAGGAAAGGTAATGCCAATGCCCAGCTTTGCTTCTCGACCCTTTGTATTCCAATACAGTTTTAATTATAACTAAAAAATGTTATTTGTTGTCCACCAGCCATAGCAAACTTGCTTCTGTCATTTGAACTCTAAATACTAAAACTGTAGAAAAGTGAGCTTTTCTCTTGACGTGCAAGTCACCATTCAGGTCTGGAACCAGACTTTGACCCAATCTGTAAACATGGGAGAATTGCTTTTTTGTTGTTGTTGTTCTACCGGACATGGCTGTCTCTGTTTAGCCTTTTTCTAAGCTAAAGAAGCACAGATACTGTAACTCTTCCTCTCATTATAATCTGATTTGAAAATGGTCTCCTTTTGAAAATGTCCTTTTTCCATTCAATACATACAATGGCATGCCAAATTTGGTATATGTTGTAGGACAGTAGTTCCCAGTCTTGGGCCCCCCCTCCACATGTTCAAGGACTACAAGTCCCAGAAATCCTGGCCAGCACAGCTAGTTCTTAAGGCTTCTGGGACTTTTAGTTCAAGAACATCTGGGGTCCCAAGGTTGGGAGCCACCGCTGTTGGAAAAGAACTGCTCTTGGACTTTTCCTAGTTGTTGCTGAGACAAACTGAACAAACTTTGGCTGAAGCAGGAAAACATAAAACGATCCCTGCTGGATCAGGCCAAGGGCTCATCTAGTCCAGCTTCCTGTATCTCTGTGGCCGCATCAGATACCTCTGGGAGCACATGGGACAACTAGATATTTGTCTCCTGATACCCCTCCCCTCCATCTGGCATTTTGGGGTACCTTCCTTTTAAGCCTGGAGATTATACATCCCCATCATGGCTTGTAACCTGCAGGGGCAGGAGCACTATTCCCTGTCAGAAGTGGGATAAGTCGAGTCACAAGGGACTGAAAACTGCTGTCTATTCCTATATTAAGCATGCCTCTCTCTATATATATATATGTTTAGGCATTTTTAATATAGGAGTAGATAGCAGTTTTCAGTCCCTTGTGACTCTGGAGGCCACAACAGACTTATCAGCTGGTAGGTCAGCCTTGCTACCAGAACTCCACAAAGTTTGTGTGTTTGTGTGGAGCTGTTCAGTTAATACCAACTGGACTGTTTTCATTTAACTACCGGTCCAGGTAGTGTGAGTGAGTTGTATATTGTGGCACTGCAGAAATACTTCTCTCTTAGCACCCACCTTGCAAGTTAGACTTCAAATTCCTGATGCAGTCTTTGCCATGAGAAGTAAAGTGGGATAATTGGTGTCTTTAGTAATAAATACAGATATATTCAGCTGAGCAGTGACAATTGCTTTAAATACTATGTAAGGAGCTTGGTCATAGTATGGATAGGTTTCTTCATTTAAAAAGAGAGGAACTCTTCAGTCATAGAGGTTAAACCCCTTTCAACTGTCTTTGCTGTATGTCTTCTACTCCTTGTGAGAAAACGGTTTTGACATTGGTTGGTAAATTGCACTGGACATACCTGTCAAAACTCCTTTTCTTTTCTACTGCCCATCTTAACAGGCTGTGTCTGCTTTAATACAAACGCACAGACCTTCTGTGCCTCTCAGGTGTGAGGTGCTGCATATTATTTTCAACATTATACCAATCCATTCATTAGGCAAGATGATGACTGCGCAGTGAGGTGAATGATGTTAGAGAAGTGCCATTTTTGTTTAATGGCAAGAAACTCAATTAAAATTGCAAGATGTGCAGAGATTGACAGAAACAGATTTTTCCCATTATTACTTGTGCTGGAAAAGTTTCACCAACTAATTTGGTTGGTGATTCAGTTGTTAAGGATGCAGAGTTTCTGTCTGCAAGCAAAGTGGAAACCTTGGACCAGTGGTTCCCAACCTGGGCTCCCCATATGTTCTTGACTAAAACTCGCTCAATTAAAATTGCAAGATGTGCAGAGATTGACAGAAACAGATTTTTCCCATTATTACTTGTGCTGGAAAAGTTTCACCAACTAATTTGGTTGGTGATTCAGTTGTTAAGGATGCAGAGTTTCTGTCTGCAAGCAAAGTGGAAACCTTGGACCAGTGGTTCCCAACCTGGGCTCCCCAGATGTTCTTGACTAAAACTCACAGACACCTTCACCACTAGCTCTGCTGGCCAGGATTTCTGGGAGTTGTAGTCCAAGGACTTCTAGGGACCCAAGGTTGAGAAGCACTACCTTAGACAATGATGACCTGACAGGAGCCCATGTTACAGCAGAACTTTTTGCTAAAAGATATGGTAAGTACTTCTTGGAATAGTGATGGGCATCTTATTAAACCTAATAGTTTCATCCATGTGGGCCTGTAAAATGAGTCTTGTGGAGAGTGCGTATAAATTCCATGGAGAATACACTGGAATGCAAGGAAGAAAGACATGGCACTGTTTAAAAAATACAAGTGAAATGTTGATCTCCTGGTCTCCCATTTTCTAGCTGTAACTGACTCTTCACCTTCTCTTCTTGGGCCTGTTTTTTCAGCTTCCACAGCATAGTTTTCATTTCTGGCATGGGTGTGATTTTCTCACTAGAAAGGTTGAGTCAGGATTGCTTCAGGTTATCTACTGTGAAAAAGGAGGTGGCATTTCCAACCATGCAGGAGAACCCATAGCCCAAGGTAGAATTAAAGTCTTAAGGCAGGAGAAGGGTGTGAGAATCAGTGAAAAACATCACAGGTGCTGCAGATGTAGCGCTTACAGCAGGTGTGTGATCCACCAGTATATGTGATTGTGGTGATTAGAGATGGAGGTATTCGAATTTGTATACGAATATCCCCCCACAGGGGGAGATAACAAGGGTCCGGCCCTATGGCGCCGGACGGTCCACTCACAATTCCGCCGCTGCCACAACTGCCACAGAGCCTTTCAATGGCTCCAGATATCGGGTTTGGCTCACCACTCCTGGCAGGAGGTGGGACAACAAGCCTCTCTGCTAGGTCAAAGAGTGGCTTGCCAAACGTGCTATCCAGGGCCGTTGGAAGGCTCTGCAGCAGTCGCAGCAGTGGCGCAATCGTGAGTGGATCATCTGGCCCCATAGGGCTGGACTCTTGTGATGTGGGGGGTATTTGTATTCGTGTTTGGGGATATTCGTATTCGTATACGAATACCCCCATCTCTAGTGGTGATCTTCTAGAAGGTGAAAATATCCATTGTGAAGCGGAGCAGAGATACATAATATATTCCAAAACTATGTCAAAATTGTAATGGCCTGGTAGGAGATAAAGGGATGATTTCATGCTACTCTTCCATTTGTATGTCCATACCTACACAGTGTGAACCTGAAAAGTGATACAATTTCATGTAAGAAGGACGGTAGGGTAATTCTGTACTGTCAGTTTCCACTGACAAAATCATTATAGCCATATGTACTTAGTGGCTAAAATCCTGTTGAAGTGTCATGACTGGTACTTGACTTGGAATATGAGTGGCTACTCATTGATTGCCATTGCATTTTATGCAGTTACAGTTACATTAGCCTGAGTCTCCAATAGGATTTTGACCAGTGTACTTAACATATTTCTGAATCATTCTTCCACTCAACGACTGCTCATTTTATATAGCTCCAAACTTTGTTTGAGTGAAAATGTAGCACAGGAAGTACTCATAGGTTTGAAATTGAATTCCATGTTTTAAAGAGCTTGACTGTTAGTTTTGGTTATCTGGGAAGGATCCTTTTTTTAACTGATGCAAGGTGCTGTTGGAGTCATGAATGAGCTGAATGCTATTTTAAATATCCCAATAGGAGGGGTTTAGGTGTGGTACAGTTTTACTAAATGACAAGGTGGAACATGTGAGTTTTGCTGATGAGCACATTTAAAATGAGTTATGAGTAATGGGAGTGAACAATATTATTTAATGGTAATGGAAGCACACTTTAAAATGTTAGTTCTTAAGGAAGCAATAATTAATGGAAAAAGCTCTTTTTGACAAATAGCATTCCAAGTTCTGATAGTAAGGAAGATGGAATTGAACCCTGGTCTTTGAATAGAAATAATTGGTTACAGCTTTGTTACAGAATGCTTCAGACATGTCCAATGAAAGGAGGAGAGAGGTGTCATATGGCCACACTTCCAAAGCTCTCATATTGTTTGTCGTTGTTTAGTCATTAAGTGAGGTCTGACTCTTCATGACCCCATCTTGTTAGACAAACCACTGGCTTGGTGCTGGAACATCTTTCAACTACCGTAATTTCTTCTTCCACTGCAGCTATGCCCTCAGCTATGTAAGTCATCAGTTGGGGGTTACCCAATGGAATTAGTATGGGAAGTAAGTGTTACAGGTATACCATGACATGAACCCTCTGAAAAGTGTATCATATTAAGCTCCTTGTGACATTAAAGAGAACCCTGACAATTGCAGCATCTGATATAGCCAGATGCTATGTGTCTGCTCATCTTTCTGTGGCAAACCATCTGAATAACTGAAGATGCCCTTGGGATTCATAAAACTTTCTGATCCCCAGCTTAACTTTTACAGAATTCACATATAATTGAGCCTATGTGTTTTTGTTTATCTGAAAATAATTTTCGCCCAACAGCATTTGGTCCAATAAAGGTCATATCTTTTCCCTCTCCATCTCAAATTTAGCACCACGATCCATGTTACTTCTGGGTTTACTTTCAAAGTGATCACATCACAAATGTACTATCTGGGATGTGGCATTTCCATCTTCCATGGACAGGAATGAAAAGAATGTACAGCTCTGCTTACAGGAACAAACAATAAAAGTTATGTGCATAGCTTTTTCTGATGCAATTTATGAAGTTTCTGTCACACACATAATATATGGGAAATGTTTTGGTATGAATGGCCCTTGCATTCAACAGCAGAGCAGGAGGGAGACACAAAATTCTTGTGAGAACCCCCAAGTAAATGTATAACTTTCTTCTAGATTGCATTAGAAAGTGAAGATGGCAAAAGGCGATACTGGTGTACGATGTTTCCAAGGCTTGCTAATCATGGGGAATGTCGTTCTGGGGGTAAGTGAACTTGAATGCTGTAACCTGGGAATAATTACTTCAGTAACTCTCGTATTATTAATTAATGATGAGCAGCAATTTTACAGCGTTTAATGCTTTGAGAGACATACATGTCAACTATCTTATCATCATGTGTGCACTAATGTGTGATAGAAATCATCGCGACCATGATAGTCATAATGGATGAATGAATCTGCCTTCATAATCCTCAGTGATGCTCTTTTTAGTATCCCTTTGTACTCTGTTTTATCAAGATAGTAGATGCAGCTGGGGTTGGGTGGGTTTTTTTTTTCAAATTAAGAGCAAAGATACAGTAGAATTCACTGATAGAAATGCATGAGTGATAGAAAAACTTGAAAACTGTGGTACTGTATCTAAATATTGTTTTTCCTTTTCATCCCCCCCCCCCAAAAGTGATAGGAAGCTCTTTCAGACAAAACATTATCCTACTTAATGTGTACACTGTAGAGACTTTATGGGTACTTGTCCCACCATCCATACAACTTTCCCCTTGTCTTGGTTAGTACAGTGACATACTCTATAACTTTCCCTGCGCTTCTAGTCTTGCTGCAGCCATGGTTCATTTTTAGCCCCAGTTTGCTCTGAGAAGGGGATGAAATTTAGTGCTCTGGTGCTCCTAACTGAAGGTTCATTTCTACAGTCAGAACTTCCCAGTCAGACACTCCAGAAGAGGAGCTTCCATAGGGAACTGGATTTTTCATATATTTCTAAAAGTGTTCCTAAGATTTCTTGAAGAGAAGCAGTTTTCAGAGAAGGGACTTTGAAAAATGTGTTTGGATGTGAATCCTGGTGAGCCCCATACTCATTTGTAATCAGCTCAGAGAAAAATGAATTTTTTTTGGCCCATCTGCAAGAGTGCAGAGAAGAATAGCAAGATGTCTGTGTTGAAAAAGTTATATGAAGATTCTGAGAGTTGCAGTCCCCAAAAGCCATTTTTCCAAATGCTGGCTCAATGTAAGGACCTAAGGCTAAGGAGAAAACATAGGCATTGCCTTGGGATAACTATCATACATTTGTTTTGTTCTCAGTGCTGTGGGCTTGCTCTCATGGCAGAGTGTATATTCTTCGTGTCAGATCAGCACACACTGTATCCACTGCTGGAGGCTACTGACAACGATGACATCTTTGGTGCGGCCTGGATTGGGATTTTCACTGGCTTCTGTTTCTTTTGTCTTTCTGTCCTTGGGATTGTCGGTGTTGTGAAGTCAAACAGGACAATGCTGCTGGTGGTAAGTTGAATTGTAGCTAACTGTACACAGCTTCCTTTGGGTCAAGGAACTAAATTAGCTAGCTGTAGTTTGGTGTATTCATGGCCTGTGAACTTCCTTGATAGTGTTAACTTTGTGGGAGGCAGCAGTACATAGCTTGTCAAAGAAATGCTACATCTGTAGAGTCTCAGAAACTCAAATAATTATGAGTATTAGCACATATGAAACAAATGGAACTTCTTGCTTTAGCTTTCCACAGCTCCAAAGGAACTAAATTAGCTAGCTGTAGTTTGGTGTATTCATGGCCTGTGAACTTCCTTGATAGTGTTAACTTTGTGGGAGGCAGCAGTACATAGCTTGTCAAAGAAATGCTACATCTGTAGAGTCTCAGAAACTCAAATAATTATGAGTATTAGCACATATGAAACAAATGGAACTTCTTGCTTTAGCTTTCCACAGCTCCAACACTAGAGAAATAGAAACTGCCCCCCCCGATGCCAATTCCAGATATATGTGTATAGTTCGATGTCAATCATTGTGAAAGTTTGGGCAAAGTAGTAATAACTGAGAAAGTCTTATTGTAAGTAAATATCATCCTCTATCTTGACATAGTCAATGCACAAAATTCTGTTGCAAGACAAGAATGTCATTGAAGGGCTCATATCCATCTGCCTTCACCTTGTAGGGGGAAATCTTTCCAGTTCACTAAGATTAAAAGCACACTGCAGTCTAAAGCTAACAGCTTCACGAAGGAATGGTGTGTTTATAAGGAACTGCTTTGTAAACCTTTGTGTTGATGACTTAAGGCCACGGCCAGGATGGGCATGGAGTAAAATGAATATTTGATGCAGAATAAATTTATACAGTGCTCTTTCATAAGATAAAGCAATAGGGAAATTAATTTTTTGCAAATTTCTTTCTCAGTTTAAATCCTCAGAAACAGACATTTGTAAGGAATTCAGAAGTGTTTGCAAATAACTGAGGAAGTTTGTCAAAGAGATAGCTTATGCATGGATAGTTATCAGCTAATATTATTGCAATATGAGAGGGTAACTTGCTTGTAAAACTGAGCCATTAGAGAGAACAATGTTGAAAGGTTGTGATGGGAAACTGTGATACTATTTTGCTATTCCAAATAGTGGTGTGGAGCAGCAGGGTTTTTTTTTCCAAAAATATTCCAAAATTGAAAATTTTTCTAGTGCTTAATTTTTCTGTGCCAAAAATTTCAATTTCTAAAAATGCAGTGATCCAAGTCATATTATTTACACCTATCAGTGCACAACAGTAAATGTGTACACTAACTTTTTCACCTGGAACAACTTGTTACCAAGATTTCTGCCAATTGCATTATGATGGTATAAAAATGCAATTGGATTTTGGCCAGCATTTCATAAAATTTATTAGTAATGATGGAAGGGTGCCAAACAGCTTTAATTTTAAATTAAGCTATCTGGTGCGAGTGATTGTAGAGGCAGTAACACTCGATATTTCCCAATGACTTTAGCAGACGTGCATTGAATTCTTTAAAAATAGGTGAGAAGACAACAAAAGCAACAGATACAGAGTTGGATATGTAAATGTATTATATAAATGATGTGTTTTCTCTTTAAATTTAAACAAGTGATTTAATTGAAGTACATCTTTAATTATTATGACATCTTGTTATAATAACTTGAAGGCAAGTATTCTTGTTAACCCCTTCAGACCCTTCAGAGCCAGGCCCACAAGAGAATTATATATTGGTGTTTTTCACACTGATCTGTATTTGTGATAGAAGGATGCCTAATGATGATTATGACAGGTGATGTGTATTTTGTTTTTAGTATATAATCCTGATGATGGTTGTCTTTGCCTTTGAAGTTGCCTCTAGCATCACAGCAGCAGTGCATCGAGACTTTGTAAGTATTCTTCCATTCTTGTTGATTGCTCTGTTCTCTCAGATGGTATCAGTTTCATCCCTGAGATTAAAAGGCTGCAGAACTGTGACACAGATCTGTAAATGGATTGAGGTGCTGAACGGAAATGAAGACAGTGGCTGAGTGGATATCTATGTGAGACATAGCAATGTCTAGTGTTTTGTTATAGTACAATTGAAAGGGAAAAAAAATCCTGCCCACAACTATCTGTTCTCTAAGGGGACTGGCAGGTTTTTATAGACCAAAACAAGCCTGAAATCACAAAATTTTAGCATATTGTTAACTGAATACTGAAGATTTTGTGGTTGTCTCATGTTATAGAAGAAGCTGTGAAAAGCCAGCCATTCACAATTTTTTTTTCTTATAATTCTTCCATTTAGGTAGTCCCTGATCAAATTTTGAATGGGGATATCTATTTGCTTTGTGTCAACTAATTGTCACTTGATCGTGGAAAGAAGAAAGTCTAATCACCATAGCAACTTGTGTTGGATTTAGTCAGGAAGGCAGGCTTCTGTCCTGCCTAGAGTCTTCTCCAGTGAGGAATCTGCCTAACACTTTGTATTGCTTCTCCACTCTCATTGCTCTGTAGCTCACACACAATCTCTTCTTGAAACAAATGCTAGAAAAATATCAGAATCCAGACCCAGTCAACAATGATGACAAATGGAAGAGTGAGGGGATCACCAGGACATGGGATCGGCTCATGTTGCAGGTAATGATGCTGTACAGTTAGTCTTCTCTGAGGAAATAGCACTACATATCTTCCAGCGTTATCCATCGCTACCCATAGACATTTAAATCCATGTGAGCTAGGCAAAGATCCCACATGATTAATGGGAAGAATTTCTAATCGTATATCAGTTGTTGGTAACTTCCCTTCAGAAAGAGAAGAAACATGCCTTGAACCCTTCTAGGGCTTTTTGTGGATTTATCAAGCACTATTCAAGTTTTATATTCACAGACAGCAGTATATTCACATCACATTTTCAATACTGCCAGGCTCATATTCAAAACTTTTTTTGTTTATGGCAATGCCATCTCTTATATGTCAGCTCTGTTGGTACAGGGTTTGATGCTCAATAGAAATAAGAACATTGGACATTGGTACTATAAAATGAAATCACCTGGATTGAAGCTGCCTTTCTAGCATGCAGCGGCTAACTTGAACTGAAGCTGGAAACATATCTCACAGGGATTTACTTGCACATACATAGGATTAGACTTCTGTTGTAAATGGCTTGGAACAGATGGCATGAAATTCCATTGCTGGTTAAGATTCCTTAAGATCTTGAAGCGTGGTTTCTAACTTATCCTTCTGCTTAGAACCCTGTAAACTATCACAATATTTCTATACGGATAGAAGATTAGCCTGATCTAGACTGAATACCTAGGAGTAATTTAGGACATCTATACATCACTCTTATCATAAACAACCCTTCCGGGCAAATCCCAGTGAGATGAATGGGACATTTTTAGTTGATTCAAGAGTTGTAAAGCTTTCTGTATGTAGTAAAGGACTATGCTTATTTTGTTTTCACTAACATATTTCCAATAGGTAATAATAGTTGTATGCCTTCCAGTCATTTTTCTAGATATAAAATATTTTGCAGTGGTTTGCCAATACTTCCTTCTGGTAACTCTCTGGGACCAGTCAGCTTGTTCAAAGCCTCACAAGCATCAGGTCATATAACCCTCCAAAACCACACATATTCTAAATTACCTGAGTTGTACACTATTCTGAGAAGCACAGTTGGGATTTGAACTCATAGCTCCTGGCTCAGAAATCAGGTGCTTCAACCCACTGCATTATTTCCAGTAGGTAACATCACATAAATCCATCTATATTTCAATAATTATTATTATTATGTGCTGTCAAGTGGATTCCAATTTATGGTAATCCTTTCCAGTTTTTTTCTCAGTTTAGGGTATTCAGAAGTGATTTACAGTTCCCTTCTTCTGGTTGGCTCTGACACCTTGTAGGTTGCCCAAAACCGTACAGGCTGGCTATCCTACCAAGTACAATGGGAAATTGAACTTCTGACCCTTGGTTCCAAAGCCAGGTACTCCAACTCACTGAGTCCTTCTTTATGAAACACTCATTGAACAATTCACTGAGAAGGTATTTTCATTCCTATTCAGTCAAGTGCTGATACATTTCAACAATATCCTGGTGATTTCATTATACATTGGACATCGAAAACATCAACCAACTCAATGCAAATCTTCCCTATGTTGGGCCTCCTTTTCCCCCCCTTTCCAACAGATCAATACCTTACTGAGCTTCTGCTAGATAGAATATCCCACCAATGTGGTAATATGGGATTAACTGATTATGAAAGTCTTGTCACTAGAAGGAAGGTCAAAAGAACAGTGGTCTTCATTCCTTAATATGACAAATAAAACGTTTGACTGCTATATCCCTTTAAAAACTTGTGTTTTCCCCACAGAATATGTGTTGTGGTGTGTATGGCCCAAAAGACTGGCAAGAATACACCTCTGTTTTCCGGAAAGTGAACAAAGATGCAGATTTTCCTTGGCCACGCCAGTGCTGTGTTATGGATACCCTGGGAAAATCAACCAATGTAGATGGCTGCAAATTGGGCGTGTCTGGATATTACCACAGCACTGTAAGCATTTTGACTTGATTTTTCTTTTGCTGTAATGGGCAGCTTGTCTACATTTTTCTGCCACTGAAATGCTTGTCAGAGCTGGCTCCCTTTCTCTGAACACGAAAGAGATCTTGCCACTTCGATGTATATCTCAGCGAAAAATGTTGACGTGGTATAAACTGACAAACCAATGCAGTGTTGGAAAATATTGAGAAAGAATCTGAAAATAAAACTGTCAATATCCTAATGCCCTTTGACAAATCTATGTTGCAACACCACCAAAATATAGTGTTCAGTATTGCTCACCACACTTCAAGGAAGATGTTGTAGAACAGGGGAGGGTGTCGTAAGAGATAGCCAAAATAACAAAGAGTTTGGAACAATTCTCTAGTGAGGAAAAGTTACAACCCTTTGGGTTGTTTGGCTCTGTAAAAAAGATGGGATGCATTCTAAAGAGATTTAAAATGATCCACACAGCGAAGAAATCATGGGGGTGCGGGGGGCGCGGAATATCTATCTCACTATGCAGCAAGCCCGAGCCATTCAGTAAAGCTAGGTGAAAGAAAATTCAGTACAGACAATATGCCTCCAAAGACATGCCTACTCAATTAGTAGGGTGGAGGTCTGCTGCTCTCATATAGTTCTTGCGGACTTCTCAGAAAAGACCTGGTTACTGTGGAAGCAGAATGCTACTAGATATGGCTTGGATCTGACCCTAATGTTCTTCCATTGGACAGTGCTGCAAAAGGCTGTGGCCATGCGATTAACTAATGTTCGTCTCTGTTTTTTTTTCTTTTCCTGCTCTTCTTATAGCAAAGGATACTAAAAATGGGAAGAGTGACATGTGGGTTCTTTTTGTATTCTTGTCAATGTTAGGAACCATTTTACTCTATTAGGTTTTTCTAAATATGAGATTACTAGAATAATTAAAACAATTGCACACATCTGATTATGGCAGAAGTTTTCATGGGCTACAACCTGCTTCATCAGATCACATCTGGTTGTGATGTAATCAGATTGTTTCAAGGGCTTAGAATTCTCTTTGTCACGATAGAGGGAGGTATAATAGCAGGCTTGGGAGAAAATCAAGGTGTGCAGAACACAAAACATTTCTTTTTGTGTGGGGAGAATTATAAAGGGAAGGCAACTCTAAACAATGGAGATTGGGCATGTAACTGGTTACACAATCCTATATGTGGTTTGTGACGTGTATGGAAAAGCAAAAGGACAGAGCAAAGTGTTCTAAAAGTAGGCACACTTGCCTGGTTGGACCTCTGAAAAAGAGCACTTTGTGCTGCAACATCTTGTTGCAGATCCCACATAGTTGTCTGCATTTGAGAAGCAGGACTTAAACACCAAATATGTGGGGCTATCAGGTAATGTAAATAGTTCGTGACTTTGTGATCTAGTCATTTCTCTGTCTGGGAAAGAGTGGAGGGTGCACTTCCACCTAGCACATATCTAGTGGTGCTTCTTAAATTTTGATGACTACACCAGTGTGTTGACAGCCTGGAAAGCATGGGTAGCGGTACCTTTTGCTGTTGTAGCAAAGCACCTGCAGAAAGCACTTTCGGATATCAGGCTGTCTATGTCAGGTGCCTTTCAAAGGTGGGGCTTTTGAAGTGTTCAGTTAATTGGGAGGGTGATATTTAGCCTCCAGACAATTACCCCAACTTTCTCAATGCAAGTCTCCTGACATTCCTAGCACAGGTTTGAAATGTCTTCAGCTATGTTACCTAGTCACCTCCTATTCACCCTCCTTTTTTTTAAATCTCAGGGCTGCTATGAAACCATTGCTGGCCCAATGAACAGACATGCTTGGGGTGTGGCCTGGTATGGCTTCGCCGTTCTCTGCTGGACTGTGAGTATCTAATAGTACAGTATTTAATTTCTCACACATTAAGCATCACACTTTCTTCCCATTCAGCAAGAAAACTTTTAACTTCTTCTTATTCTGGCTGTTCCAGTACAGATGGAAACATACTCAGGTATTATGGCTGGGTTATGAACAGGAATATATATTGCTGATGTTAAATGTCTCAGAATCCCACTGGAATTCAGGAATCTAATTGGACTGCAAGATTTTCCCCCCTCTTTTTTTCCACATGGAAATTTGTGTCTTTTGGTACACACTTTGCCAAATGCATACTTTTTACTGCATTTTTGCATGGCATAGTTGTGTGTATTTTTCATACGTATGTATTCTCACCCCGTTCACTAACTTCTTTAATATAGCAAAGAAAAAGAAAAAGAGAATCTAACAATTAAATTTTTTTTTCCTAATGTCTAGAAACCGAAAAAATAAGATGCATGTTTTTGTTAATAATCTTCCACACCACAAATTGGATAAATTTGTACAAAGTTTTGCTTAATCTGAATTTCTTCATCTCTAGTTATGTATTCCCCCCCTGCATCCCAACAAAAATAAAAGTTCCTTGACATTTGGGTTTATTTTCAAAGCCACCAGCTTCCTGTGGTGATATGAAAAAAATCAGATTATTTTTGCTAAAAAAGCTTTAGTGTCTGTGTTTGTCCTTTTAATTTAAAGTCTTTGCATATTCATATCTAATTTCTTTACAGTCGCTTGAAGAAGCTTAAATTACCTGGAGTTTTATTTATTTTTATAATACTGATTATGACAACATGACTGTATTCTACCTTCATCTACATATGTGACTTACTGTTTCTTGACTGTGGGTTTCTGTGCTTGTATTTCAATTGTTAATGGAGGTATTATATATAAATATTCAAAATAAAATAAATATTACAAATATAATCCCGCTACAAATCACACCTACAGCTAAGGGAAGGCGTGTTTACTCCTGATACTCTCATTCCACTTAACACAAAAGCAAAGTATGAAAAAGAGCATCTTAGGAATGTTCCTTGTTACTCCTTTGTCTCTTTTACCCTTTTGAAGTTTAAAATTTTATTCCAAAACAATGGTGGGTAATACACTTATTAGACCACTCAAATCTCAAAACATGGTGAGTTTTAGATCCTTTGGGCCATTTGCCTGACTGGACATAGCAGAGGCTTGGGGTACTGGCAACCTTTTATCTGTAGAAATAAAGGAAAACAATTGATTCTGGGTTTTAACTAAGGTTAAAAAACGATACCACGAGCTCTGAAGCCTCCATCTTGTGACTTTATCTTGAACTTGGATCCTGAATCCTAACATCTGCTAGGATTTACTTACTTACTTACTTACTTACTTACTTACTTACTTACTTACTTACTTACTTACTTACTTACTTACTTACTTACTTACTTACTTACTTACTTATACCC